TCAATGTACCTGGATCAGGGTATGATTCTTTCAAGTCGATTGATTATTGTCGATGACGGTGGTCTGCATAGTAAGTAAGTGGGTGGGTACTTGAGCTAGGCCGCCTTCACTTACGACTTAAGACTTTATCAAGCCTACCAAGCACTCCTCGCAAGCATTTCCCAAAGCAGTTTGACAAGAGGAACAAACAATGCCGATTTGGTGTTAAGATATTGTTTCGATGCAATAGCCGCACGTCTGTTGGTAACCGTCAAGCAAAATTACGGTCCAGTGTCTCCGCAATGGGCAGCATTGCCGCATCGAACGGCCTGTTTCATGAACCAAGGGCTCACTTCAAAGCAGGCTGGAGGTATCTGCAGTTCGAGGGCATGAAGTTGAGGGGCGGTAGAAGCCCGCATCAATTTCAGGCTTCACGTCGTATGCCCTGAATATGGCGTCGGCGGTACGGAGGCACCACGAATCTGCTCCTTCGGCCACTGCAACCACGACTTCCATTCGCTAGGGACCATGTGATCTGCAATGAGAAGTATCTGCTCCGCGACTCCTTCTAGATACCAGTAGTTCTCTGCTGCTCTATGCATGATGACAGCAAAGTGTGCAAAGATGATCAAAGATCCTGGTTGCCTCTCCGATAAGAGCTCGACATAGCGGTCCGAGACAAGATGTATCCATATCTTCAACAAAGCGTCGGAAGGCGGCTTCGTAGATTTCTCTGCAACCTGGAATACGAGCTCGAGGATATGACAGGCATATCCATATGCATCGACAATGTCGGGAGGGTAAACGTGATGGACTACCTCGGAGAACTTGCGGAGCTGTACGAGCTCAGTATTGGGTGGTTGCTCTTCGGTCTGCCAATTGATATTCTTGACGTCGTCTGGAATCACACGACCTAATTCACTCTCCTTCATCTGTTCATAGACCCCTGTTACCATGGGTCTAATTCTCCGAGTCAGGACGAGATTGGAAAGAACGCTATCGAACACATGATCCAGATCATTGTGGATTGCAAGTGAAGCGACACATGCATGCGGGAACAGCGTGCCGGCAAACAGTAGGACTGCTTTAAAGTTCGAAGGATCGATATCGCGAACCATTGTCTGGAAGTTGAGCAGAGACGCTTCATGGTATTTCTCAGCTTGGTACGAGTATTGTTGGGCCTCTTCTGGTCCTGCAGTTCGGCTCAAGTGTAACGCACTGAGTGCAAGAGCCGCTTGGAGAAGATATGGATGATCGAATGCAATCTGTATCAAAGTAGTTGTAAATACGTCCTCGGCGTCAGTATGCGCTGCGAGACTTTTGGCTGTGACGGTCGTGTAGTGACTACCCACGCAATTAGCTTACGCTTCTAGGTGTCTTTCTTGTACATCGATAAAAAAGTTCTGTTGCTCGTTGAGATCATACCAGACCATGGAACCACAGTCATGTACTGAGAGACTCAATCACATATGAGAGTACGTACTGGAGCAATCGTAGTTGGGGTATATTCAATGCCAAATCTGGTTGACTGGAAGCGCCATTGATAGTGATGGATCCAAAATCTGGTAGTGGCTGTTGGTCAAGAAAACCGGAAGTGCCATCTGTGGATGATGGCGTAAAAGCTGGCGTTCCAATAGGTAAAGGCGACACGTTCGAAGCCTCACGACTCTCTTGGCCCGTGGATGGTCGATATTCACACACGGTGCCTTGCTTTACGCAGTTTGCGCAATTTGGCTTTTGCTCGTCGCACTTGAAGATGGTCAGTCGTATGTAGAATTCAAGGTTCGAATGGGAAGGCGCACTTTGACATGGCGGCCTTTGCATGGTAAGCAGCCGTTTCGCGACTTCTTATGGGGCTTGCGAGTCTTAGCTCTTTCCATGTTATCTTGTCGCTGCGAGGATCATATCAGTGGTTTGTTTAGGGAATGTGATGACAGTGGACGATCAAAAGCTTAGGATGCGTGACGAAATCGGGCAGTCTGCCTTCACGCTAAAATATGGTCTGTGCTCCCGAAGCTGCCGTAGGCTGTGCGACTCAAACATCCGGAACACGGAATTGTGGCTGTGGTATCGACGATCTTGGCAAGCATATACTGAGTTACATGGATCAAGGAATGGTCGAAGCACTGAAAATAGAGAAAGTCATGTATAACGTTATACATACATTCTTACATTCATGGTCAATGTAAACGTCGTATCAAGAACCTAAGTGGATATCCACGTCCCACGCTAAGTCGAGTAGATATTGTAACGCCAGTCCAATGCTCATCTTCATGCGATTACTGCTCGTCGTCTTCCTCTTCATCTTCTAGATCGGTCCGCTCAACAATCAGATTACCGCTCCGTCCGATACGCTCTTTAATCGTACCACCAGTCTTGAGCTCATATACCTCGCGCGGCATAGGGCTGACGAGTTGGAACTTGTACTCATGCTCGAAATCTGTTGGTTTCTCTATGTTCTCCTGTACACCTACCTCAGATTGCAGGATATCGTAGCATTCGACGAATGCATAGAGTTCCTCGATCTGTGCATCTGCGGCGAACTTGCGAACCACGCGCTCTGCATTCGGCATACGAAGACTGATGCGCACGATGTCCTTTTCCTCAGGCTCGGGCTCAGAGCGTATAGATGCAGCGCGCCATTGCCTCCATTGCGCGAGATTTTGTGCGTATCGTTCGATGGCTTGTTCGCGTTCGAGTGCTTCCTTTTCTTCTCGAGCTTTGCGCTCTGCTTCCTCCTTCTTCTTGCGAGCTTTCTCTCGGTCAGCTGCGAGTGAGCGTTCATATGCGCTGTTTTGTTGTTCTCGGATGTTTCGTGTCGCTTGTTGTTCCGCGCGCTGACTACGCACGCGATTGAGCGGCTCTATGTGTTGCTGCATTGCCTGTCGTAGCTTGGCAATGTATTGTTGTGGGGGCGTAGGACCAGCTACACGCACGGCAATCCCCATAGCTGTTGACGAAACTTGGGGTGTATGTACAATGAGACCCGTGAACGGGAATTTGGTGCACGACAGGGCGGCGGAAACTTGATATGCCTCGGAATCTTGCACGTTGCCAGCCCAAAGTATGATGTTGTTCTCGGGGTTTCGTACGAACTCCATGACCTCTGGCGAAAGAAGTGTATCCCGTACAAAGGATGATGTTTCATCATGCTCTGGGCTGACCAGCACCACCATTAAGAACTGTAGGTTCTTCTTCGCTAGATCAAAAGCTTGTGCGTATCCGCTCTCGAAGAACGGCAGGTTGTGGCTTCCATATTCCTCCTCAAACTCGCGGATGAAACGCGCCGCTGTGTCTCGTGGGTTCAAAGGTCGGCGCCCGCTCGCGCTGCGCTGAGAGGCAGGTGTGTTGATGTTGCTAGCTGTAACCCTCCCCCATGCGCGCGGGAGGAAGGGAAAGATCCATCCTAACAACCGGAAGGATTTCGCAAATAGGGAGTACACGAGCGAGAATGGCGCAAAGAATATAGCCAGTACTAGCGGAACTTGTGTACTGACTTGGCTTTCTGGCTGTGGGACCACCCTCGGAGCAGGTTCTATCCTCACTCTCCTCCCACTACTTGTAGATGATCGTGGTGAGGCAAAACCGTTTAGTAGTGTCTCTTGTCGGCGGACGTCTTGGGGCGGTGGTAGTTGGGCGGCAGCAGCAGCCACTGGGTCTTCGGTCGGTTCGCCGTCGAAGAAGCGCGTGACCGCTATATTGACATTCCATTGCGCGCGTTGGAGTATCGGTATCGCATCAGATGACGCTTGGTCGGTAACAGCGGTGTATTGTTGAAGCGCGGCTTGCTGGTCGGCTGTGAGAGATGCGATGTCCGTATCCGCCATGTTGGCTCCGCCACCCACTTTATTTTCGGTCGAGAGGTTCGGTTGTGTAAGATTATATCTCAACGTGGACGAGTGATATATATCATCGGAAAGGACTGTGAGATGACAGTGGGACGTAGGGTGAAAGTATTGGTGTACGTGTTGCTTGGCCTTTGCTGCGATGATGTAGCGATGGTCGGAGCTTTCCCTCCAACTAACCGCGGGACAAGGGTGAGGCTGACCTTGGAAACCCCGGCCGTTGCCACAGAGCACTACCAATCGTGGGGTACTCTTGCAATCCCTTGACACAGGAAACTAGTCAGGGTAAAGCCCCGCACCAATTAAGTGCTTGACAACAATGCACAGTATTTGCGAGCTTGCGGGTCTCGGAATTTTGGCAACTAAGGATATATACCTGCAAAATCGAGATTTTTCTCATAACAGGCATATCATCGCCCGCTTGGCGTAAGTTTACCACAGCGTGATCCGAGTAACGCCTGCTAAAAACATTCACAGCAAGCGGTAAGGCGTCGCACTTGTAATGCGAAGATCACTCGTTGTAAGTTTGTCTACGTTCGAATTGCGTACGAGCCAGACACTGACTCAAATTAAGCGATTCGGGTAGTGGGCACACACAAAAGTCTCAGTCTTCTTTTTTTTGCCTTTGCAATGCCCTGACAAAAGCTCCAGCGAAACCTCCGATAAGATTATGTTTGCATTCTTAATCAAGGTAATCGTTGCAAGCATGTCTAAGTCAAAAGCGTTGACGCGCTTCTTTTTGACCTGTCAGCATTAAAACAGCACCGCTGTAAAAGTTTCACAGTAGTGGCCTTTCTATCGACTGACGTAGAATGATGGAAAAGTTTGGAAGAGATTAAAGATATCTATAGCAGTAACTGGAAGTCGTGCAGGTGACGCAAGTTCAAGACTACAACAGCGATGACTCCAAACAGTTCTGCATATGATGAATTTACTTGCGATAACCCATCACCGATCAAATATACCCTTGTGGTGTTGCACAGAGCATATCTCCCTAGGCAAAGAGTGGACATAACCTCGAACGTTCGCAACTTCCGCGACACAAACGATACCAAAAACCCTACACGAACGATGTACTAGGAAACCAAGGCGACATGAGGTAAGTCTTGCCACACTGTCTATTCTGGATACTATGGAGAAGTCATGTAGGAACAGCTAGGTACCTATGGTTCAAGCTCAAAATTCCATATGTACCACTATTAAGGAAGCCAGCGCAGCACCCACCACAAACCTATTCATGAACGCTGCAACCATATCCACCTTGGCACTCTTCTCACCCTCAGAAGTCTTTGGATTCTCCTCATTGCTCTTTTCCTTCCCCGTACCCAAAACATAGCCGTTGCTCCCCGCAATAACAATTTCGAATTTCCAGTTCTTGTAGCCTGTGTTTGTCGCACACTCTTCGCGCATATTTCCCTCGCCCCAAAGTGCACATTTAACAATAGTGCGACTATTCGCGTCCTGACACTCTTCTCCCAGATTAATAGATGGGGAGCGCTCAAAATAGATATTGAAGCTGTTGCACATCTGCGCATGTAACGTGGGTGTGCTGGTAGGTGTAGCGGAGTAGTCGAATGCGTTTGGGGACAGAGTGGTCGACGAAACCTCTGGCTCGCCATCTAGGTTAGATCTCCCCCACATGAGGCATCTACTCGCACACTCAGTTGGACTGTATGCTTCCAGTTCGTGATATCCAAGGTAGTTCGTGCCGACATATGATGCATTCGCCCCGCAAAAGGCGAGGGCATAGCCATGGGGTGTGGTAGCCTCTAGAGCGGGAGTGCGAATTAATGGAGACGTGTAGAAGGACGACACACTGTCTTCTTCTGGAACAGGGCCGTAGCCTGGGACTTGAGGGCGACAGTCGCCTTGGGTATTTTGAACGTGCTGGGATGGGAAAGTTTGTAGACTACCGAGGGTTGTGGGGATGGTACTGGTGGGAAATATGGTGGTGTTTGTCGACGAAGTGTTGTATATTACTGTAGCGAGTGTGGGGGTAACCATGGTGGTAGTCACGGTACGTGTGAAGGTAGATATGTTGGAAACGTTGAGCGTGGCTGCTACCACACTGAGTGAGGTAGTATTTACCATCTTGATATGATTGAGTTAGAGAATAGTGAAGTAGATTGATGTGGGAAAACTATTTTCGTGCTCCCTTGTCGTCGTTGTACGGTAGCGAACAGGTGGCTGTGTATTCTACACCACCACCTAGACCATAGTATTAAAAAAAAAGCTATAATCTCCGTCTGGGCGCAATTCTGTGTGATTGCGAAGTACTCGTGCTTGTACTCCAGAACCTTCTAACATATTGCATTATTCTTGAATTTCTTACCTGATTGTTCACATAGCCGACAGCCTACTACTATAAACCGTCATATCATCCCTGAACGCACTCTGACCTGTTGAAATCTGTCAGCAAGCCGTAAAAATGGAAGCTCTAGTATTAAAAACAAGAGCCTAGACACTGACCTTTCAAACACCGTTCCACAACCCCAATCCACAACCCTCTCCCCTTGAACCTCGCTTCCTCAGCTCCCCACCCATTCACTGTCTTCAGAAAGGCTTCTTTCTCCCACCCATTCATTCTTTCAGCCATGTCGGTTATTGTCTCAGTACTTGTCCGTGTTGTTACAATCACAGCATCCGATTTAGGTAGACGCGCAAACATTTGCGTCTCGGTACGAACAAGTAGTTCAGAAGGGTGAAGATTTGCTATGTTTCCGGCAAAGAAATCCATGGGCCGGAGAATGTGGAGTGTGGAGGCTAGAGAGCATCGAGGAGGACGGGTTTGAATGAAAATTTGGTGGAGGGATAGAGGGCCGGTGTGGGAGTATCTGGACAATGTAGGAAGGTCGAGGGTTAATATAGATGGCAAAGCTGAGAACGTCAGTCTGATGTGGGCGATGGAAAGATATGAAACTTACTGGACCAAGGCAACATTGGCAGTCTCCCGTTTTCATCACCATGAACCATGATATTGACTGGTTTTCCCATGTAGGACGTTATGATGTACCCGGATGGGAAGAGCGTTGTACTGGCGTGCAAGTACCACATCCTAGTACTCTCACTTCTCTCCCAGATCATAAAATCTTCTCCGCACAGTCTCGCTACAACCTCCAATGGATGTGCCTCCAGCCTACCCGCTAATTCGAAATCTTCTCTTGTCAGTTCATTCAGAATATGCTTCCTACGATGTTTAGTCTCGAAGCTGAACTTGCTAGGGTGCTGTTCGACGAGGTAGGAGGCAACTTCTTGCAGCAGCTCGCGACACGCGGATTCGCCATCGGGAGTGAGGTGTATACAAGATGATCGGTTGCGCGATAGGAGGTGAGTGCGCGCGGCGTGGTACTCAATGTAATGTTCATCAATGGCTAGCCAGTCGCGCCGGTCCGTTGAGGTAAGCCCTAGTTGTGAGGGTTGGAGATAGTCGGAGCAAGCAGAAGTAGATTCGATAGGGTTGTTTGTGTAAGGGAGGTTAGGGAAGTAGTCGCCGTTTCCGCAGTCATCTGCGTCAAAGGCAGGCATGCGGGACAGGCGGCATTCTTCTGCTATATAGGCGCGGGTTCCAGGATTTGTGAATGAAGATAGGTCTTCCTCATCGATATCTTGGAGATTCACCATCGTCGTTGCTTGTGAGAAACCATGTGGTTCGAGTGCGGTAGTATGAGCGGTGTCGTCAGATAGTGCTGATAATGAGGCATGTGTGAAGACGGTCATGCGTCGGTGCTTCATGGCGTTGCTGTGTGTGCCGGCTCCGCTGTGGTTGTCGGCCATCGGAGCATGTTGTTGTGCATCCTCATGCTCGATCTTGACGACGAGGAACTTCTCTGGCGCAGGACCGAGAGCGCCCTTATAGAACCAAAGCCTGACTGCAGCGGTACCTATGAAGAAGAAGTAGAAACATATACCAATAACGAGAACGAGAAGAACGTATAGAGGCATTGCTCCGGGTTCTTGTAGCTGACCGGCTACCATGTTTGGCGATCAGGCAGGCGGGAGTATGACTATTGCGGAGGGTAGGAACTGCAGTATAGGTACGCTTCCAATTTCTGACGTCGGGATCGCGCGTGACCGAGCATCTCTGTGGCGTACAATGTCGGTGTTGTGAAATGTTGCTCATGTTTGATAAAAAATGTGAAGATGTGAATGTTGCCAAACATGCCACACTTCAATGCAAAACGAAAGAGGGCAGTGGGGAAAACAGTGAAATCACCGGCCATGCACATGTTCATGATAGCACATGTTATAGAAAATGGCTAGCAGGATTAAGAGGCAAGAGAAATGAGATTGGGAAAATATTGGGTATCGCGTTGTTTGACTATGGAAAAAGCGAAAAATGAAATCGTACTCCGTACTCCGTGGTATATCCCTGCATGTATCAAAATAGCCAGCTGGCCAGGTACCATGCAAAACGAGATGCGTCAAAAGCTCCTCGATTATCCTTCAAACTGAAACTTGCTCGTCATACACTGAAGCATTCGCCTCTTATTCGATCTTAGGCAAAGCATCGATCTTCGCGTACAGTTCCTGTGCTTCCTCAAAGACGTACCAGACCTCCTTGGGAACACCCTTGAAGGCCTTCTCGAATCTTTCTGGGCAATTCTTTTTGCCTTCGTCCATTTCCGCAACGCCCGTTACCTTACGAATGTAGATAGCACCGATCCAGCTCTTGCCAAACTTGCGGTACGCTTCGCCATACGATTCAGGGTCTGTTTGGGTCGAGTCACCGATAAGGATGAACTTCCGCTTGGGAAACCAGCCATGAACCTTTTCAATGCGGTCAACCTTGTAAGCTTGGGTACCTTGCGTCAAGTTTGCGAGGAAGCCAGCCAAGTTCATCCAGCTAGCGTCGCGTAAGATCATGGTACCATTGGGGTAGTATTGCTCGCGGAAGTTGCGCAAGAACGGGTAGAGGTTGTACGGGGATGCGGAGAGATACCAGAAGGGCGGATTGTCGAGCTTCTGCGCCATATGCCTATACAACTCCGGCATGCCCTTGATCGGCTCTGGCTGCTCTGCGAATGTGGTGGTCAAGATACCGACAGGTGACGATGTCAGAGTCTTCTTGATTGTATCGTCGATATCGGAAAGGACGGCCCATCCCTTGGGTTTTGCGAAGGTAATATTGAATGACGTCGCCTCAGCATTGACGGCCTGGAACTTGTTGACCTGGCCGTCCTTATAATCGGTTCCGGGAATGGCCAACTCGTCTGAGCTGATACCGTCGCGGCCGCTGGGTCCTAATCTGGTTTTGAGACCATTGAGGTCAATTTCAACAGCGTGCGCTGGAAGAATTGCGTCCGCAAAGGGCTGGAGTCTCTGGGCGACTGTTGCTCTAGCCTGTTCGTCGTCTGCAAGGCCGATTTTCTCGCTGACCCATGCAACGAGCTGGGAGATGTCCTTGCCGCTATTCTTGACAAAGTAGGCAGCAACAAGTTCCGCCTTCCACCTTCCTAAGCGATTCTGGTAGGCAGTCGTATCCAGAATCCATACATAGTCGGTGTCCGGGTTTACGTTGGTGAAGAAAGGGTTCTTGCGACCAAGATAGGAGGAAAGGTTGTCCTTGAGGGAAAAGCTGAATCGGTTGGCGAGTTTAGGCATATCTGCTTCAAATGCGGCAAAACCCGAGTTCTCTCTGGTAATGTGCTCTTGTTCAGTTTCTTCGACACGCATACGAGCCTGGCCAGCCATGGCGGAAGCGGGTTCGGGCGCCATTTTGTAGGTGATGTTGAACAAAGACGCTGGTGCCTATGAAAGTGGTGAGGTCAGGAGGTGAGTGTATTGCACGGGACGGTGGGAGGCGAGGACCATGGCTTGAGGTCATATACTTTGTGCCTGGCACTTGACCAAGGCAAGGTGAGTGGCTGTCGAGGTGTCTCACGAATGGAGCAAGTGCGCATGAAGAATGACGTCTAGCCAAGCCGTAGCTGCGGCATCCTGTAGGAATGATCGCTTGCCGAGGAAGCGTCGATCCTTGAACCTTGTCGCCACATCGCATCGCCTCGAATAGGTAGGGACAACTCAGAGACGATAATCGCAGTTTCTAACACTAACAGGTTGCGGGCATAGTCACAGGTGGTGGCAGCGAATGGTAGCTTGCTTAGCGCCGATGAGAACAGAGTGACGCACGCAACCACAGCCAAGCGACCACAGTGTGAGTCTCTGATATCTGTAGGTGCCCGTGACAGGTTGATAGTATTCTTGAACCTGAATAACATGTCGCTGACCCCGTCTGTTGACGGAAGCCTTTACTTGGCTGTGCCAGACTTTGGAGATGGTGAGGTGGAAGATGGGGCATTACTGAAGAATTAGGCTGGGTCGTGACGTTTGACGTGTCTCGCAACGTAGTGTTAGCACGGATAGATCGGTACTGTGCTCAGGCTATGTCATCGTCACACCTCTCGGCGACAAAGAAGACGACGACGACAACAACTGCCAGACTAGCTTTGATGGTTGTGTATTGTCAACCGCCATCTGCATCTTGCCGCCACCGGTCGAGAAGACGAACCGTGGTATCACGCGGGCGCACCATAAGCAGGTACCCGGTCATGTGCTACGACTGTCTTGACGTATCCTAGGATGCTTAGTAGGAGACTGGTCTCCAGCAGCTGTGGAATCAGTGTGGATGCACGGAAAGGGTCCGATTAAAAAGCAGACTACCGGGCCGTGGGTCTGCAGCAAAAGGCCGATGGCCTATCTTGGCACACCCTCCGCCATCCAGGACGCGTAGATGGTGCCGTGTGGGGGAAGGACATGGTGGTGCAGTACAGCGATGGATGCAGCGTCGCCACACGTTGTACGCGGTTGTTTACGTTGGCTGTACGTGTGTTCGCGAAGTTGTCATGGCTTGGCAGCAAGAGGCGCAGCCCTACCTAGGTAACCGTCCGCGCGAGGAAGGAGCGCTGGAGGCCTCGATCTATACCGCGATCCCACCATCGCTCTCCCTTCCACCAAGACTCACAGACTCGGAGCCATCTCGTGTTTCGTGCGGTTCTGCGCTTTGTTTTTGCGCAGTCACTTCAAACGCTCCTGCGACCGTTTAACATTGCGGAACCGCTCCGCCCGTAGCAGCAGACATGGAGCTCAAGAAGCGCCTCAACTTTGGCAGCTTGATGCGCAAACGGTCTTGTGAGTCCCGCCATGCACTTTGGTCTGGTACACTCTAACGCATCCAGCGCATACAGCCCAGGATGTCAATATCGATCCAAATGCTGACACGCCCGAGGCCAATGCCACCAGGGGAGTGGTAGGTTATACCGCCTCGTCGCATCTTCGCAGCAGCTAATAGCGAGCAGATGCTCTTCTGCGAATCTGGTGCCGCCAACTCGGTACGGTATTTGCCCACAGAATCATGCCGCCCTACTGACCTTTCTAGGGCGAAGAAGTCCTCCACCTGCCTACCATCGTCGAGTCCGCCGTCGCAAGCCCGAGCGCTGCATCAGCCGCCGCCAGACAGATCCGCATCTTCCTCTCCAAAGAAAACTACGCCCGCCCTCATGTCCAGTACAATGCCATTATGCTCATCAGAATCTTGGCCGACAATCCGGGCCCTTCTTTTACCAAGAACCTCGACAAGCAGTTCGCCGATACAGTCAAGTCCCTACTCCGCAATGGTCAAGACCCAAGTGTAGCGCAGATTGTCAAGGAGACACTGGATTCCATGGAGCGAGAAAAGGGATATGACACCAACCTAAACACGCTGTTCACCATGTACAAGAAGGAGAAGGGCCTTATGGCTGTTGCCGCAAAGCAGTTCGGCCCCCGGAAGCTCAATGCGCCAGGTTGGTCAGGGTCCCAGAACGTACAGGGCGGCTTCAGTTCAGGGCACAGGTCGTCGTCTAAGACATTGCCGCCACCAGCAGAGCTTGCAGGTCGCATTGAGGAAGCGCGCACATCGGCCAAGCTTCTCTTACAGCTTGTCCAGTCCACACCAGCAAATGAACTACTTGGTAACGAACTGGTCAAGGAGTTCGCTGAGCGCTGCACGACCGCCCAGCGTAGCATACACGGCTACATCGCATGCGACAATCCGGCACCCGATGATGATACTATGCTCACGTTGATCGAAACCAACGAGCAGCTCTCCCTCGCTGCTTCCAAGCATCAGCGCGCCATTCTCCAGGCCCGTCGGTTCATGGGTGCCTCGCCGTCTCCACCAGTGCAGAATGGAAACGCCATGCCGCCGCCGCCACCAAATGGTAACACTAGTCCAGCTGGTGTGCCTACACACAGCGATGCGCCTTCGATACCCTCCATGAACTTTGGAACGATGCAGCCCACCCAACCGGCTGGCACAACATCTACCAACTATGGAAGCGACGAAAACAATCTTCCTCCGTCACTGCAGGCCGCACCGAATCGTACACAACCGAGTGCACAAGAAGAGAACCCGTTCGCTGATCACTATACGACTACATACACACCTCCAGCGCACCAGAACTCGTCATCGGCCAACGATTATGGTGGCCCACCAGATCCTTACCATCCAGGCTTTCAATCAACTCCGTCGTATCTGGGTCGGCAAGAGAGCTCTGCAAACAACTTGACCATGCACGGTGCGCAACCACCGATTCAGGAAGAAGACGAACACATGCGACCGCGCATTGAACGCCCACGGACGCCTGAGCTCAACGTGCCTCAGCAACAGGCCCACGACGTTTCGCCCGTCGCTGAACGTAATACCGTCACGTACAGATACTAGGAATCTTGCGATGGAGGATCGCGCGGCGGACCAGACCCGGACAGGATGATGTGGGGTAACGTTTGACAGGCCCGATTTCTCCCTCTGGACCCAACGGGTAATGCTGATGCTTTGAAATCACAAAGTGTACATGCTCTTTCTTGTTGCGCAGAGTCGGAGAACTCGAAATTTACAGGGCGGCTTGGAGCGCGATATTTAAGAAGAGATACCATGGTTGACTATGATTTGGATTTATAGTTTAATGTTCTATTATCTTGCCATGCCCCGCATTTGAGCGCAAGGCTGTGACCTCATGCAGCCCCCGCGGACATGTCATGACCTCGTGCATCTCACGCGTCTCTCACTTGCAGCGATCACGCAATCTACACAGTGCCTGAATCGTCAACATTTCACGGCACGTCGATTAGCTTGGTCAGCGACGAGCCGACCATCTTCGCAATCAACCCCTCGAATGTGGAAGGCAAGACCCGACGACCCCCACCGCGGCGGAACAGGGACCGCTTCTAGCGCCGAAGAATTAAAAGAGGCCGTCATGTTGAAGACATACACTATTGACCAGCCCCGTTCCGCCCTTCCTCCCGTCCATGCTGACTTTGACTTCCTCATGGCATTCTGCTGCAAAAGTCCATGGCTCGCTCGCTTCCAAAATGCGTCGACACGTTGATCATTGGTACGTGACGGGGATAACATGCGCGCGCAAGCAAGATGCTGATTACAAATTACAGGCAACGGGCCATCAGCGCTCGTCCTCTCCTACATCCTACACGGCCATATCCCATACTACGTCGGCGGCCATCATGACGCGATTCTCGACGCGAAACTGCAGAAATCACCCAATCTGCTCCACCTAACACCGGATCTCTACGCGCATTTCCTGTCCTCTCTACGCTACTCGACCCAAGCGCTGCCGGTCAACACGCTGCTCGACACTCTCGTCCGACCCAATGCTGATACCGAGCTGAACCCCAAGTCCTGCATCGAGTGGCGGTACGAGCCCGAGAAGGCTATTCCACATGTTGCGATTGGGGAAACAGCCCATGCAGGTGGGCAATGGGCAGAGAATCCCGTCTCTGCAAGCGCAGACATTGGCACGTTGAGCTATGCGGAACAGTTGAGCCTCCCTGGCTATTCGTACGCAGACCACTTGGCTAAGAGCGGAAGAGGAGACGAAGCCGAGTTCGTGCGGCCTACGAGGGTCGAGGTTGCCGACTACCTAAGGACATACCCGGAGGCGGTGGGCATAGCCGATAGCATATACACGGGGCTGAAGGTCGAGCATGTGCATCGAACGGTGCGCGGCTTTTCCATCGGAAGTCTTGGGATTCGGTGCAAGCATCTCGTGCTTGCGTCTGGCATCTTTACAGTCAACATCCCGCCTCCACTTCACCTTGCGCCCATCGCACAGATGGATTCCCAACAAGCGCCACTACTCGTTATTGGATCCGGATTCTCTGCGGCCGATGTTATCATATCTGCGCCGCCTACTCGTAGGATCCTACACGTCTTTCAATGGGCCCCCGAAAAGAGGCCGTCCCCATTACGAGGCTGCCACCACACCGCTTACCCAGAGTATGCGACCGTTTACCGCCAAATGAAGCTTGCAGCGATTACATCCAAGAAGAAGAATGCAAAATCTCCTTCTGTACGGCGCAAGTCGAATCCATTTCAACAACGCGACTGGACGCTCTACGAAGGCCTGCCCAATGCCGAGGTTGTCAGCGCATCTGTGTCAGGGAATGTAGCAACCATAGTACTACAACTGCCGTCAGGAGAAACCGTCACCCACGAAGTAGGCGGTCTAGCCTATGTTGTTGGCCGACGCGGAACCTTGGATTTTCTGTCCCAAGAACTATGCGCTGAGATTCTAGCTTCGCCCGACCAAATGAGTTCCGGCCCATCTTCCGCGCATCTGATCTCAGGCCGAACATTCCGCGTCAAAGCCGAAGCTACGTCTCTCGAAGTAGCTAGAGACGTCTTCATAATCGGTAGTCTTACTGGTGATTCTCTCATTAGACATGCAATCGGTGGTTGCGTCTTCGCCGCTGGCCGAATTTTGGGTGCCATACCGACTATTTACTCTCCTGACAGTACTCCCTCGCCTACCTCTTCAACTCCTCGATCTGCATCACCAGTATCTACGTCTGATACTGAAATCGCTGCTGAAGATATGCAGGCTAGTCCGCGGAAAGAGAAAAGCGGAAGGCGTACACCGGGCGAATTGACGAATGGGCATGCAGATTTGCACCTTGATCGGAGGAAGCTTGTAAGGTCGGTGGAGACGGCGAATGCAGAGAATAGATATTGGGTTGACTCTGGTTGGTGGGCTGGTGGACTCGGCCCGGGGAGGAGTTGAAGATAGACACATTGATGTGTGGTCTCCTCATTGGCGTTAATAGTACATACCCCATGTTCCTTGGAACAAACTTATCATTACGGATCTCTAAATCCACATACACGCATTATTAATGTATCCCATGTTGCTCAGTGTTACCAGTTAGAATCAAGTGATATTTGATATTATTCAGCAGCCATTTAAACCCAGCAGTGGCCTCCATCAAAATAACCTTACTCAGTACACCTTGAATTCCGCAATTCTAACCTTGCTGCCCACCTTCGGCGTAAAGATAACTCTCACCTGCTCCCCCTCAACTTCCTTCCACTCTACACTCGTAATGCCGTTCGCGACAACATCGCCATAAGTCGCGCCCTCGACATCACTCCATTCACCACTGTCCCCGCTACCAGGCACCTGGATCTTATAATCCGTCGGCTCCGCGAAACCCTGCTCTTCGTTCGCGAAGAATGCAAGCTCAGCCGCACTTATGCTGACCGTTTTGCCAAAATCAATCTGGTACCAGACTGTACTTCCATTGCCGACTGGTGTATCCCACCCATTCTTAGCATCTTGCTCGGGGTAAAACCATATCCGACCGTCAATAGCAGGGTATGTAGATGCTTGAGTAGTGTTGCCGACGGATGTTGTACCGCGCGGATACGCCGTTGTAGCGTTGAGTTGGATTGACTGTGCGATTCGACGGGTAATAGCTGGTGGAGCTTTTCGTTCCAGGTCGACTGAAAGACGAGAAAGCGTGGGGGATGAAGCGACTACCTTGCCATCGACCTCAACCTGCAGACCTGTGGCGTCGTAGTGCGAGCCGTCGGCATCCCACTGAACGGCAATTTCATGACCGTGGTATATGATACGTTCTGCGCGGAAATATTTCATCTGCGCTGAAGAGGCCAGGGGAGAGACTTCCAGCGTATCGTTGGCTGAGGGACGGATTCCAACAAGACCCGATAGGACGAGGTCGTTGAAGCCAGAGTGGAAGTAATGATGACTCCGCTTGAGTCCTACGATCGGTAATCCCGTGTCAGGGTAGTAGTCTTCTTCTAGATCCAGAATGCCAGTATCGGGGTTCCGATGCAACTGAGCATATTGCCTCAGCAAGTTTGTATAGTCATCAGTGTTAATAACATCCGTCTTTCTTCCCTCAGCATAATGATCCAGGAAATTGGCGAGTCCGGATAGAACTTGAGTCATCTGGAAAGGCCATACAGGGCCATTCCACTGACACTCCGGGTTCGGGCCTTCGTAACGGTACTGTCGCATGTAGTACTCGTAAGAAGGCTCCACGGTACGCAAACCGTGTTCTCCGGCTAGCTCGCTACTGTTAAGAATGTGCGACCAAGCTTGTGCGTAGGTTGCGGTATCGTCGGGGAGGTCGTGGGTCCAAGGGACCATACCGACTAGTTCGCGGCCGCGAATGGGATCCCAGTATGTGACGTTCGTGTTGTTGACTTGATAGCGGTCGATGAAATGGTCAAAGGTTGAGTTCCAGAGGGCGTCCTGTACGCGCGTTTTGAGGGCAGTGGCGCGGGAATTGTAGGTGTCGACGGTGCTTTCCAAACCACCTTTCAAGGACGCCATGTTGGCGATTGCGAGGGCGTTGGCGTACTGGTAGCTGTTTATGCTAGGGCGGAACGAGTCGCCGCCGAAGAAGCCATCATAGCCACCCGAAGAATCTATACTGGAGATTGTATACTCCGTCGCATCCCGGATGGGCTCAACGTAATACAACCCTTTGTCCTTGTCGTAGGAATCATCCCAGGCATTATACACTCTCGTCATATCGTCGAGCCTCTTAACCACGTCCTCTACCACACCATCAACAAGATACCCTTGCCAAACGGCTGCGGCCATGCTTTCAGAAAATTGTCGACTGTTGCTGTTGCTGCTATACATGAATGTCGCGTAATCTTCTTTGAACCGTCGGTCGCGACACCACCGTCCCTCTAGGAGATGGAAGCCAGTTGCATCGTTCAGACTAGCCCAAGGCATAGTCTGCCACCCGACATCGTCAAGGAACTCGGTCGAAATGTAACCGTTGGAGCCTAGGTCGCGTTGATGTGCGCGGAAAATGGACCACCGGTAGTAGTAGACATCGGTGATATCTGGATCGCTAGAGTCGAAAAGAGGGATCCGATCGCGGTACCATGCTGCATCATTGCCGTAGTATTTGTTCACTATAGCTTCGACATCGAGCGCATAGCCTTGATAAATCAAAGGAACAAGAGCGAGCGAGCTATACAGCTTCATGTCGGGCGAAAAAACCAGTAGCAGGTATCTCCAAGCCTAGTAGTACTTGAACATGTGCGGTGTCGTCCTTTTACATAGTCTCCTACCCTAGCTCCGTTAGCTTCCCGGTCCTCAACCGAATGCTACTGTCCCTGTCTCCAAGCTTCTCGTTGTAACATGGGTCGTGCATATTATCAGCCGTTCCGTAGCTGTTCTCTTCGGGGTATTTCTGAGAAGAGCAAGTCAATTCGTATTCGCACTCGCAAATCTACCCGACGGCGGCTCTCCGAGCCAGGATCGATATGACTTGCCCCACTTCTTCCCCGCAAACTTGTAGATCTGCATGGAGATAATTACTCCGTCTTGTGTTGGCGAGGTTTAACTTTCGTATGTTGACGTGATGACGTAGAGTTCAGCCGGTGCC